GATGTTTTATTAGTAGCCATCAGGCTGAGACCACTCAATCCCATATTACTGTAGCAATCCCATGAATTACATGAAAAGAGCCAAATAGACCCTAATGTCTGAAAACCAAATTCTTTAGCATCCTACATACTTTTATAACATTATAGTATAATAATTTAATATTTAAAAACCAAATTCTTTAGCCAAAGGCTAAATTGCACTTAAATACCATATTGTTTCCCCCAAAAAACACTTATATACCCTAAGTTACAAAATGGAGCAAACATGTACCTAAGTTGTTCATCGTGTGAATTTGTTAAACTGTGTTAAATTTTACCTAAGACGACAAAATTTCCCTTCTTCAAAAATAATCCTCCTATTTGAAAGGGGTAGTAAATTAAGTTGTAAGTAATACAATCAATGAGAGTAGATGACATTTAAAATAATCTTGAGACCAACAATGGGAATATTCTAGAGACTATTCACTTGGTTGATTAACATAAGGTAGAACAATAAAGCAATAAGAGCTTCAACTTCCACTCTTGAGTGTTCTCTTCCCTTCTCTTGAGTGAGTGTTTGAGGGATTAGGCTGACTTAGCCATTCTAGTGAGAGAAAGAGTGACTAAGTGCCGCACGGGTTCGAGTGAGGTTTGTGGTGAAAGAATCAGCCCGTGACATTTGGTATCAGAGCCAAGGTTCGAAAGTGATAATGTCAAGCTCCGACCTTCGTTCCGAAGTACTTGGTGTGGTGGATCCGAAGGATGTTCCAAGGCAATGTAGGGATAAATCTCGTGACATCATGACGATGTTGGAGGCACGGTTGGCTAAGGTGGACCTTATCATGGCGGATAAGATGGAGGCTTTTGACGAGCGCATCGAGAAGTTAGAGTCTGCAGGAGATGAACTTCGGGAGGAGATGTAGTCGGCCTTGAATTCCGCCGTCGACATGCTACAGCAAGGGATCACATCCGTACGTGAGGAGTGTGCATTCTTACGGAGCCAAGGAGAAATGTTCCTAAAGGAGATGACTGAATTTAAAGAAAAGTTTAGCCAATATGATGCTAACTTGGCAACTCGAGGTATGATTTCACAACCTTTCATGGCTAAAGATACTCCTAAACCGAAGCCGTATAAAGGAGTTAGGGGTGCCCGGGAGATTGATAACTTCCTATGGAACATGAAAGTATACTTCAATGTAGTCGGATATAGGGATGATGCAGCCAAGCTCCAACCCATACCTCTTTATCTCGAAGACATCGCTACGTTGTGGTGGCGTAGACGATGCGAGGATATGAAAAAGGGTACGTGCTCCATTACTACTTGGAAAGAATTCAAGGCAGATCTAAAGCGGCAATTCTACCCGGAGAATGCTGAGGATGAGGCCCGAGGTAAACTCCGTCGCCTTACTCAAAAAGGTTCAATTCATGATTACGTGAAAGAATTTTCAGAGTTGCTGCTGGAGATCCCAGACATGGGTGAGAAGGACTCTCTATTCTCGTTCATGGATGGCCTCACAGGATGGGCCAAGATGGAGTTACAAAGGCGTGGCGTTCAGACTCTGGCCCAAGTAATGCAAGTAGCCGAGTCGCTGATCGAGTTCAAGAAGGTGAACAACTCGTCCAAGGCAAAAGATAAAAAGGGTACGCTTACTAAAGGTGGGGGAGAGAAGGATAAGCCATCCAAAGAGTTCCCACCTAAGTCAACGTCCGAGAAGGGTAAATCCTATGACAACTCTAAAGGAGGTCACCGTTCAAAGAAGTTGGCATGCTACTTCTGCAACGGTCCACATAAGGCTATGGACTGTCCCAAGAGGGCCAATCTTGCGGTCCTAGTTCAGAAGGAAGAGGAGAAGCAAAATGAGGAGACCCGAATCAACTCACTTCGTCTCCTCAATGCAATCAAGGCAAAAGTGGATGCAAGAGCTCGGGGCGCGATGTTCATTGAAACAACCATTTTCGGTAAAACCTTCAAGGCCCTTCAAGATACTGGTGCTTCTCATCTCTTGGTTTCTCGCGATGTTGCTAGTAGGTTGAATCTTAAGATCACCAAGGGAGGGGGTGTCATCAAAGCTATCAATTCAAGTCCCACTCTCATCGCTAGCGTGGCTCAGAAGGTAGATGTAAGCATTGGAGAATGGTGTGGCCAAGAAGACTTGACGGTCGTGACCATGGACCACTTTGACGTAGTACTTGGCTTGGAATTTTTGGACAAGGTGAAGGCCGTGTTGGTTCCATACACCAACACAATGTGCATCCTAGAGGGCAGGGCGTGCACAGTTCCGATCAAGCGCGAGAGTGTGACTTCTAAAATGCTCTCGGCCTTACAAGTGTCCAAGGGCGTCCGTCGACATGAGCCAACTTTTATTACTACAATCAAGGTGGAGGAAGACTACACCAGGGAGAAGACGTGCCCGAGAATATCCGAAGTGTCTTGGAGGACTACCACGACATCATGCCCGCAAAGCTACCAAGTAAGCTCTCACTTAGGAGAGAGGTGGATCACAAGATCGAGCTCGAGTCAGGAGCTCATCCCCCAGCCATGGGACCTTATCGCATGGCACTACCGGAGTTGGAGGAACTTCGAAAACAACTGAAGGAGTTGCTGGATGCCGGATACATTTGTCCGTCTTAGGCTCCATATGGTGCCCCTGTATTGTTCCATAAGAAGCACGATGGGTCATTGCGGCTATGCATCGACTACCGGGCTTTAAACAAGATCACGGTGAAGAACAAGTATCCCATTCCAATGATTGTGGACTTATTCGACAGATTGGGGCAGACAAGGTACTTCACTAAGCTTGACTTGCACTCGGGATACTATCAAGTACGGATTGCTGAAGGAGATGCATGGCACTACCGGAGTTGGAGGAACTTCAAAAACAACTGAAGGAGTTGCTGGATGCCGGATACATTTGTCCGTCTTAGGCTCCATATGGTGCCCCTGTATTGTTCCATAAGAAGCACGATGGGTCATTGCGGCTATGCATCGACTACCGGGCTTTAAACAAGATCACGGTGAAGAACAAGTATCCCATTCCAATGATTGTGGACTTATTCGACAGATTGGGGCAGACAAGGTACTTCACTAAGCTTGACTTGCACTCGGGATACTATAAAGTACGGATTGCTGAAGGAGATGAACCAAAGACGACATGTGCAACCAGGTACAACTCTTATGAATTCCTGGTTATGCCGTTCGGTCTCACCAATGCTCCAGCTACATTCTGCACCATGATGAACAAAGTGTTGGAGCCTTCGTTCGGTCTCACCAATGCTCCAGCTACATTCTGCACCATGATGAACAAAGTGTTGGAGCCTTTCCTAGACCATTTCGTGGTGGTCTACTTGGACTACATTCTGCACCATGATGAACAAAGTGTTGGAGCCTTTCCTAGACCATTTCGTGGTGGTCTACTTGGACAATATTATGATTTATAGCCAAACCATGGACGAGCATGTGGAACACTTGAGGCAAGTATTCCAGACGCTTAGAAGTAATGAACACTATGTGAAGAGAGAAAAGTGCTCGTTCGCACAGGAGGAGGTGGTCTTCTTAGGCCACATCATTGGAGGAGGCAAAATTCGCATGGATCAAGCTAAGGTGTGAGTCATACTAGAGTGGGAGCCTCCTACCAAGGTGACAGAGCTGTGATCATTTCTGAGCTTGGTGAACTACTACCGAAGATTCATAAAGAGCTACTCAGCATTGGCGGCTCCACTGATAGACTTGCTGAAGAAAAACCAGGCATGAGATTGGAGTTCAAAATGCCAGATGGCATTCGAAGCTTTAAAGAGACCTGTGATGGAGGAACCAGTTCTCGCTCTTCCTAACTTCAGCAAGCCCTATGAGGTACACACTGATGCGAGTGACTTCACAATTGGAGGGGTGTTGATGCAAGAAGGACACCCCGTGGCCTACGAGAGTCGAAAGTTAAAAGACACCGAGAGGCGGTACACCGTTCAAGAGAAGGAGATGACGGCCGTGATCCACTATCTCAGAGTTTGGAGGCATTACCTACTTGGGTCCAAATTCGTAGTAAAGACAGACAATGTGGCCACCAGCTATTTCCAAACTTAGAAGAAGTTATCTCCTAAGCAGGCACGATGGTAGGATTTCTTGGCAGAGTTTGACTATGTGCTCGAGTACAAACCGGGAAAAATCAACATAGTGGCAGATGCGTTAAGCCGGAAGACATAACTTGCTACTATGATAAGTCATCCTCGGAGCACCTTACTTGATCGTATTAAGGAAGGTTTGTCTCATGATCCTACAGCCAAGAACATGGTGGACTACGCAAAAGAAGGCAAAACTCGAAGGTTCTGGCTAGAAGGAGACCTACTTTATACCAAAGGGAGACGGGTGTACGTGTCATTATTCGGGAATCTAAGGAGGGAGATCCTTAAAGAATGTCATGACTCTCAATGGGCGGGACATCCAGGCGTGCACGGAACTCTGTCTCTTGTAGAAGAGACGTATTATTGGCCTCGCATAAGGGATGATGTTGAGGCCTACGTGAAGACTTGTCTTGTGTGCCAACAAGACAAGACAGAGCAGAGAACACCGGCCGGACTGTTAGAACCATTACCTATTCCGGAGAGATCTTGGGAAAGCATTTCCATGGACTTCATCATGGGTCTACCCAAGTCAGATGGATGCAGCATTCTTATGGTGGTGGTTGACCGGATCTCTAAATACGGCATTTTCATTCCAGCCCCAGCCAAGTGTCTAGCCGAGGTAGCGGCACCACTATTTCTGAAACACGTGGTGAAGTATTGGGGGGCTACCAAAGTCCATCGTAAGCGATCGGGATGGTCGCTTCACAGGAAGGTTCTGGACGGAACTCTTCAAACTCATGGGGTCAGATCTAAACTTCTCTACTAGCTTCCACCCTCGGACAAATGGCCAGACGGAGCGGGTAAACGCCTTGTTGGAGGTATACTTGAGACACTATGTGAGTGCTAACCAGCAGAATTGGGCGAAGCTACTGGACATAGCCTAATTCTCCTACAATTTGCAAAGGAATGAGTCTACCGGGACGAGCCCATTCGAGATCATCACAGGTCAGCAACCACTCACTCCAATACGCTATTGCTACAGGTTATAAGGGAAATAGCCCAGCCGCTTACCGATTTGCTAAGGAGTGGCAAGATCAGAACGAATTGGCACGCTCGTGCTTGAATAAGGCGTCAAAGAAGATGAAGAAATGGGCCGACAAGAAGCGAAGACATATGGAGTATCAAGTTGGAGACTTGGTCCTTGTCAAGCTTTCTACATTGGATCAACATAAAGGGCTACACAAGAGCTTGATACGCAAGTATGAGGGCCCATTTCCAATTGAGAAGAGAGTGTGGAACGTGGCTTACAGGGTAAAGCTTCCCCCAACCGTGAAGTATCATCCGGTCTTCCATGTGAGCATGTTAAAGCCATATCATCAAGATATGGAAGATCCAGATAGAGGAAAGTCTAGTCGAGCGCCAATAGGGATTCGTATGGAATTCGACAAGGAGGCCGAAGAAATTCTTGCGGATAGGACGGTTCGTGAAGCCAACAACCACCCGAGGTTAATTCTTGCGGATAGGACGGTTCGTGAAGCCAACAACCACCCGAGGTTAGAGTACTTTGTGAAGTGGAAGAGCTTACCCGACAGTGAGAACAGTTGGGAACCTACGCGATCCTTGTGGCAGTTTGAATACTTGATCGAGAAGTTTCGTCAGGAGAAGACTAAGCGATGAGGGCATCGCTTGGATAGGTGGGGTAGAATGTCACGAACCGCCCCATTTTTGGCTCAATTGGGTGCATTTGGACTCACTTATTCATGGTTGGGTCCATGAAGATCCTAGGGTTTTCTAGAGTTTTCTTGGATAATAAAGGTATGATAAATATCTTGTATCTAGAAGCTTCTAGGAAGTCTCATTAAAATATCTAAGGACCCTTGTAAAAGCTTCTAGAAAGTCCCATGTAAATATCTAGGGAGATATTTTAGGAGAAGAGTCTAGAGACTCAATCTTAACCATTGATTGTAAGAACAATCTAGAAGGCTAATCATAGTCATCCATTGTAAGCTAGCCTTACCTATAAATAAGGGCTAAGCCATTTCATTTGTATCAAGCAAGAGTTGCTAAGCAATAAAGCAATAAGAGCTTCAACTTCCACTCTTGAGTGTTCTCTTCCCTTCTCTTGAGTGAGTGTTTGAGGGATTAGGCTAACTTAGCCATTCTAGTAAAGAAAAAAATGACTAAGTGCCGTACGGATTCAAGTGAGGTTTGTGGTGAAAGAATCAGCCCTTGACACGTGACCGTACTTGTAAGAACGGACTCATCCCTACTATTAACTATTACCATCTCAGATTCTCAAACCCAAAGCCAAAATCAAAATCAAAATATCCACGGTAGAGAGAGAGAGAGAGAACGAGCCCTAGATCGGCGAAAATCGAGAAGGAGAAGCACCGCAAAGCGCGCCGCATCCATCGGATCGGTTACGCCGCCAGCAAAAGACAACCACACCACCAAGAAGAGGAAGGAAAAGCCATCGTCAATGGCGTCTCAGCCTCAGGTTAGGGCTTCCCACGTCCTGATCAAGCACGAGGGATCGAGGAGGAAAGCGTCCTGGAAAGATCCCGAGGGGAGGATCATATCGGCGACGACGAAGGAGGCGGCGGTCGAGCAGCTGAAGGCGCTCAGGGAGAAGATCGCATCGGGAGACGAGAAGTTCGAGGATGTTGCCAAGAAGTACTCGGATTGTAGCTCCGCCAAGCGCGGCGGTGATCTAGGTCGGCTTTTTAGCATCTATCCTTTGGCGGCCTCTTTAGATTTTGTGAAAACTAGGGTTTTATCCTTAGGCATTTTATCGGATTTCGATGTCGCTGGTGAATGGTAGTCATAGGATTTGAAAAGTCGCGTCTTTTTTTAGTGTGGATGCAATTCTGTTTGCGTGTAGTTTCTTTAGGCGCATTTAGTGATATTAGTAGGGAGATCTAGGGTGCTGGGGGTAGAGCGGTTTTGTTCCGTGGACGGATCTTTTCGAAGTTTGCTCGACGGGCAACGTGCTTGTAGAAATTTGTAGTTTGAAGACTCGAATACATGGCACTCTACACGGATGCTTGTCATATTTACTTTTATTGTTTCAAGCGCCCTAGAAATATAGACGGTTATGAGTAAGTTACTGCTGTGAACATAAGATGAGGTGCATTTACAATTCTAGTTCTGACCCCTGTCTTAGTAATACACCAAGGTTCTTGATTGACAGCAACCTCACCGTGAAGGTCACCCCGAGAATAGGTCGAGCACCAGAATGACCTCCCTACCAAACTTTTTAATCGGGCTGTTCAATAGTTAATCCTAGATACTGCTTCTTTCGGCATGACTCTCGTCGTAATCTGCTGATGCCAGTTTTAGATATGGATCCGTATGTAGTTTCAACACAATGCTCGTTCTCACATCTGAGGTTTGTAGTGTCGGAAACTACAGTGTAAAGTCTTGATCATCAACTTTCTACTACCCCTTGATTATTTGAAGAGTGGAACCTGGGATTTTCTGATGATGTTAGTTTAAAAAAGTTTCAACAAAAGCATGGACGTGGGAAAATGGAATTTTAATTTTATGGAGTTGGTATCGTGGATAGTTCTCGAATAGGGTGCTTTTGTTTCATTATAAAACTATTGTTTCTTCTGCATGAGGAATTTTGAAGGCTGTGGTTATGTGCCTGGCATTTTCACCTTTCATTTGAGAAAATGGTATCTCGGCTCTGCTGACGTGCGAAAGGAACAAGATTGATTGTAGTTTCTTTCTTGCCTAAGCTTAGTATTCCTTTATTAGTTAAGGATCCATACAACCAAAGAATATACTAATCAACCTCTTAGGTGCTGATTCAGTAGGACATGCCAACTCAGTATTATGCATGACTAATTCAGGATAACAAAGTTTACTAGGTTTTCTTTAATATTCTATAAAAAAAAATTATTTTTAGATAGAAATAATGTGTTCTCCTGAAATTAACACTCAACTTGCTTTACGGATGTTAAATCTCAATATTGTTTTTCTCTTTATACTTTGTTGTGTTAAAAGTTGACGCGTTGATATTTTACACTTGCCTCTTGTTTATGCCACGTTACCAAGATTACTAATTCCCTATGTCAAATGTTATCATCTGACTTTCATGGTGTTCCCTCAGTTTAGGAGAGTTCCTGGGTTATTCAGTTACACTGCTAACAATGGGGTTTTTCCTGAACAACTGATCACCTGGGATTTGGTTTACTCTGTCCATAATTTTCTTAGGAAAAATTTGGAGCAATTCCTGTGTTATGGGGTGCCGATTTGAAGAGCTTTCATCCATCTGTTTATGGGGTCTCTTGAGTTTAAGTTACTTGAGAAATAGCTACTTCTGTTTGCATAGAGTAAAGGTACATAAAAAGGTTGAATTAAGCTGGTTATGGTGGTGAAAACTCTGTGAACTTTAGCTTGATGCTAATTTTATGTATTTGTTAGGAATGTCTCATAGTGCAAAACAGATGAAATTACAGGTATAGCAGTAGCGCAGTCCCCAATGCTGTAGTCGTTGATGTCCATGCTATTTTCTTTAATTAAGCTTTTTGAAGATGGAAGGAAGACATCCAATAATCTTGCACCAGTATAGAGAGAAGCTGAGATGTGTTTTAGGGATATTCTGTTGCATGGCGTAAAGTTGCAAAAGTTTATTAAAGTTTGATCTGTAGTTGAGATTGCAATTCTTTGACCGCAGTATAATCTTCTCGTCTGGATGAATTTGTTCCAGTATTACAGCGTGTACATTCTGGTATGCAGGTGCTAATAATGGGTTTTTTTTTTCCGATCCACTTTTTCAAATTCTTGAATGGCTATAGTTTATAAACCTCCATTCAACTTTTACCAGAAGTTCACTATGGGTTGCATGTGAAGGCTCGAGTTTTGACAACTTTTTCCCAGGACCTTATGCTAGCAAAAGCTCTATATTCTATCTCTATTTACAATTTTTTGTATGTGATTCTGGAAGTCTCTGACATATGGTATTTGAAGTGTATTACATGTATAATTGGAGGTAGCAAAATGCAGTTAAATTTCATGTTGTATATGAAAGTATGTTTATTGAAATATGTGGAGCTTCCTTGTAACTTAGGCTACATTTATAAGTGCAGTCCAAAATATCATTTCCGCTTATGTACTACTGTTGTGATGGGAAGTGATGCTTGATGTCATTATAGATGTTATACTGTGATTAATTAGAGAGGAAAGGTCATTAATGTTCACATGCTTGGCAACCAGCACTTGTCAATAAGTGAAGTACTTTGGATCATGGAAAGAAAGCTCCTCGAAAATATCTTCAATGCTCCAACATTTATGTTCCCATATCGTGTTAAATAGAAACATTGATATCCTATTATCTATTAAGTGGTCTATTACTTTGGCTCCTGATCTTTTTAATTATTATCCTGCAGGTCGTTTTGGGCGGGGTCAGATGCAGAAGCCATTTGAGGAAGCTACTTTTGCGCTGAAGGTTGGGGAGATTAGCGACATCGTGGATACTGACAGTGGAGTCCATATCATCCTGAGGACCGGTTGATTGCTGTAGGTGTCTTGATCATCTAATAACTTTCTATGCTTAGTTTGATATGGTGCCTTTATCTTGTTATTCTTGAGCGACTGCAATCCATTAGATTTGTTGTGATCATGAGTGAAATTTGTTTCTTAAAGGCAGCAATTCAACATTTTAATGCTAAATGATATATTGATGACTTGATAATTTGTAATAAACTGACTTTGATCTGGCTTCTGCTTTTTTGTTGGTAAATATCTGTTACAAGTCACTTATTCTTGCATTTTTTATTCCGATTGAGCCTATAAATGCAAGTAGGGAACTATACACGTCTGCTTAGAACTAGGACAGTTGCATGACAAGTATCTCAAAGTGTTTACGCAAGGCAGTGAAAAAATTCACTACATACAAATAACGCAAAATGCCTTTTACAATTATTCATTAAAATAGAAATGTGTTTTGACACCTTGTTGCGCTGAGAATGAGCTTACAATCGTGATTTAAAGGAGAGAGATGGTTTAAGGGAGAAAGTCTGGAGATCATTTGTGAGTGTCCTGAGATCATTAATCTCAATTTATGTGAATTGTAATCTCTCGTCTAATTAGTGAAGATTTATCTACTATTTTCCGTGGACATAGGACAGCCAAAAGTAACAAAAAGGATGTTATTATGTGCGGCAACTTACTTCGACTGAACCATCGGCTAAACTGCATTTAAATGCATTAGACGATCCAAGAACCGTCATATGAAGAAAATGTGGATATTGTTCATCAAACTCTCGAAGCTGGTGATGAAAACTTCTGCCATTACAGTACGTTTGGTCATAGCAGCCTATCTAGAACATTGCACTTAAGTGACCGTTATTTTAAAACCGAACAAATAAATAACTCAAAAGTATTAAAATATTTCAGATCACTATCACGAAGTTAAAAAAATCCCAGATGGTGTTAATATTTATTTATGCGTCTAAAAATATCATATAACACAGGGTACTAAAGTGTAACTTTTAGAAATTTTAGGGTATTAAAGTGAGGTTATTTACAAACTGAAGGTACTTATATGTAATGTTGCATAAACAGGAAGGCACCAACCTGCAATACTAAGCAAACAAGAGGGCACTAACGTGTAATATTCTGAAACTTTGCTCATTTATCAGTAACATTTAAATATTTGGGGGGTATTTATTTACTCGGTTTTAAAATAAGGGTCACTTAAGTGCAGTGCAACGTTGGTGGGACTAGAGGGCATTTAAACGCAATTTAGCCTTAACCATCAACTCTTTTGATGTTAAGCTGGAGTTACCCGAGACAAAATGTGAAGTTGCATGCTCTGTACTGATTAGGAACAATTTTTTTAGCCTGCATTATATTCCTCTTTAATATGCATCCTGAGGAGTTATCAGTAACCTTCTCATGGTTTATATATCACAGGTATTATGCTAATCATCTAATAAATTGTCGAGTTAATTACACAGAATTCCCCCGTGGTTTATGGTAATCACATGAAGATCCTTGAAATGTCCTTAATTGTGAGAGGTTTACTTCCCTGATTTTAGTTTTCTAGTCAAATAATAAAATTTTGTGTGCTTTAATGTTCTCGTTAAATTTATGCTATATGCTCTTCATTCTTGGGAAGTTGTCTTGTCAACGGACGATTCCTACAGTTGACTGTATCTGATATCAACAGGATGTATACGGCTTGTTGCTGAATAGCCCGTCAAATGTTACACAGTTTTTCCACCACACATAACAAAAGAGAAACGAGTGAAGGTTGTTCGTTTGAGATTGTTTTATGGACAGGGAAAGAAGAAGAAAAAATAACACAATGGCAACCGTATCTGCTCTAGTTCATGTATCGTATATAGTTGAGATTGTCTGTTTTAAGAGGTAAACTACACTAAACCCCAATCACTATTGGAATTGCAGAATCGAATCACCAGTAAGTTCCAACATTCTCGCAGAATCACCAGCAAGTTCCAACAATCTGCAAATAACCCCCACGATGACGCCCACATTTTGCGTTGACGACACACGTAGATCCTAAATGCAGATTAACGCCGTCATGAGGGTCGTCTTCAAAATACGGAAACTTGTTCAGGCTTTCTGCAATTCCAGTAGTTATTGGGGTTGTAGCGCAATTTTAGAAGTTAATGGGTCTGCGCCCTGTTTTTTTTTCCTTCTTGTTTGGGGGGTGGTTACTGCAAAACGCTGAAATTCTTAAGGGTTTAGTGTAATTTACCCAAAATAAAATCAATTATCTTCATATCGCGCTTGGGAGCTTGGTCAAAACGAAACCAGGTACAGTTTCATAAACTTCGATCAGCTGTACGTGCAACGTGAGTTAAGCTTTTTGATATCAAATAATGTCGTAGCATATTGCATGCAGGGCTTCAACATCGTGAAGTAATTACCTAAACAAAGGAATGGTATTGATAATTGAGAGAAGATGAAAGGCAGGAAATCTGCTTCACAGCTTGAAAAGAGAGAAACAATAAACAATGGGCAACATACAATAGCATTAATTTAACCGCTAGACGTTGCGGAGTAAAATTTGCCACTATATTCTATGCACATAACTACAGCTATTTCCTTGTAGAAACAGGACGAAGTTGCTTACTTGTTTGTAAGTTGTTTCTTCAAACGACAAGTCTAACCAGCAAATTATTGATTGCTTGCTTGAAATCCTGAGTTTGGTCCCAGTCGTCGGCATCCGTTATAAAAGCTTCCTCACTTATTCTTCAACCGAGAACTTAAAATTATTTCTAATTTCCCAGAAACAAAATTTCTCAGACGCGATCTTTACTTCCAAGCAACGGCAGGAATCTTAACTCCCTCGAGATTATTCAGAAACCATCGGGCTAGTTGTATGCATCGGTACCCAGAACCATGACAATAAAATTAGACTGTTGTCAGATAATCCCTCAAAATTTTCCATCAAGACTGAATCCAAACCTCCAATGCCTTCACATCCAGCAACCGTTGATTTGCACAATTTCCAAATAAGATATTTGCAACTATATATCCACATTTTTTTTTCTTATCCTTTTTGCTCATTCAAAAGTAATGTCATGTTAGAGGATTTATTTCAGCTATCCACAACAGGTTTTCAACCAAGATACTTCCATGTCTTTCCCCTGTTCTACCCAGTCCTTCGAACAGAAGGAACTTTTGAAATCTGATCCTCCTGCATTTTTATCACATTAATCAAACTTTTATTAAAAATAATAATAGAGTAAATATGTAACTAGATATCAAATACTGTCTTTGCTTGAAAAAATTAAGACTTTAAACAACTTGACGATATTATGGGAAGCTGAAACAAAAAGGAGAGCTGGAAAAACCTGTAAGATTTGCTGATAAATCCATGGAAACCCATTCTGATTTACCATTGTCTGTTGATCATACTGACCCTGTGAAACACGGTAGGAAATATATAGGGAGGTAATACTGAATCAGTTGTGAGAATACGGAATTTGTTGCAACAGTTTCAAGTATGACATTGAAAATGAAATTGCATGAAGTGCAAAAACAAAAGAAATAAAATAAATGCAACCATATTTGTGATTAATTAAAGGGATTTTTGCATATATACCCCTTAAATCTGTCATGATTGCAAAATTACTCCCCAAGTCTTGGTATTTGCAAAATTGCCCTCAAATCTCTTGGATTGGATGAGTATACCCTTCTCAATAATTTTGGAAAAGATACCCTCTTATTCTTTCTTCCCCATTTTCATATATCATTCCTCTCTCTCCGACCTTAACATTTCCCTCCACCATGTCGCCCCCTCACTTACAATACGGAAGGAATTATAAGACAACGACAAAAAAGACATGATTATGAGCAGCTAAGAAAGCTAATTATTCATTCAAAGCTGGCTCCTTGGTCTTGGTCTCCATGAATGCTGCAACCACATTCTAGAAACCCAACATTTTAGACTCATTCAAACTTGCCCATTAACAAAACTCTCCCCTGTTTCAAGAACACCGAAGAAACTTAATTTCCCTTAATACTAATCCACAAGAACGAAAAACATGGCTAGTAGACCTTTTCTTTTTCACCAAAATTTCACTTCTCACTCTCGGCCCAATAAGCCCATTCAAATCCCTAATCAGAAGCAAAACCATTGTCCTCTCAGTGAATCATAACAAATCTCAAAGCTAATCAAAGACGACGAATCAGCAAATCTCAATAGACCAAACACACTTCTCCATAGGATGAGTTAAACAGATTCATTGCCGCTGGGAGAGAAAGCAGAGGGTATTTTTGCCCAAAATAATTAAACGGGGTATTCTTATCCAATACAAGAGATTTGAGGGTCAATTTTGCAAATATCAAGATTTGGGGGTAATTTTGCAATTATGAAATATTTGAGGGGTATATATGCAAAAATCCCATTATTTAAAATACAGAATAGAGACCTGTAACAAATTGTTTGATTGTAGCCTTGGTTGACTGTTCATATGATGCTGCTGGTTAACATGCAAGTCAAAGTGTGTGCCAAATGACAAGTCGTTTGGGTTTAAGTCTTCCTGTAATAAGTTTTTAGAATAAATGGGGGAGTAAGATATGCCGAAATGTATTGAGGACAATTATACAAGTTCTGATAACAGAACAAACCATTAAATTGATGCCTCCCTGTCCTATATGCGTATCAAGATGGGAAACTGTTGGAGCAGCTTGAAGAACATTGTCCTCATTTGCTATCATGGCTGACCTGAGAAAATCCTGTACATGAAAGATATATGATGGTATCACACAGTAGTTACATGTACTGATCAACGTAAGTTTCCTTTTTACTAACCAAATACCTGTTCCTTATTTGTCCGAACTAAGGGCTCAACGTTACACACTCTTCCCTTTTTCGGTGGCCTGCCTCTCCGCTTCACAGGCAGCAAATTAGAATTGCTATTCGCGTTATCCTCAGTGAATCCCAGCTGTGAAACCAAGAGATTCTGAACATTTTGGTTTGAATGAGTGTCAAAACAGAGAAGCTTAGGTTGATTGTCCCTGCCAGATGTGTCATCAAGAAGAGACTTCTCTATCTCTTTTATCAACTTTAAAGAAAGTCGGTATCTATCTTCAGATATGAACCCTACATCCACAAGCTGAAGAAACCTACTGGATAGATAATCATAACGCTCTGGGAGATTATTAACTACAGCATCATCTGAAGAGCGAGCCATAGCATGTAACTGCTTGAAGTCCTTTTTCCATCGATCAAGGATATAGTGAGATGGAATCTCAAAAATTTGTTGAAACTTAAACACAGACAACACGTGTCTACACAGAATACCATGGAAATTGAAAAAACCACAGATGCATTGCACCACAACGTCATCTGCATTGAACAAGACTTGATAATCCTTGCTCTCTGTCCTTTTACCATCTTCAATGTATGAACATTCTTTAATCTCAAAGGTAAAGATTGAACCATCAACCTTAACTGGTGTCACATGACAATACATAGTGGCTTTTAGTTCATCTTGGAATTTCTTGAACATGTTAAGGGTGTATACCTTTGATAACTGCTCTTCCATATAAAACTTGGATATTATAAGCGGCGTCTTATGAAAAGTCTCAGAGTCTGTTTGAGCTTCCTTCTTGAATTTGCTTAGTAAGGCCATCTCACATTTACTGAAGAACTGCTTTATCGACGTTCTAGGAAACACACACCCTTCAAAAAAGGTAGTTACACTCTCACCACGTTGTGAAACCGACATCCCAGCCCAGAATGTGTTGTCTTTAAGAAAAACAGGGACCCAAGAGTGCCGATCCTCATACAGTATTTTAAGCCACTCGTTACTTTCAAGTTCATATGTCTCTATCATCTTTTGCCAATATTCTTCAAACTCTTCAACCCTTAAAGAGTCATATGCCACTTTCTTTATTGCCTTCTTGATTGCTTTGAATTCTGCAAGCCCTCTCAATTTGTCAGGAATCTTTTTTAAAACTTGAGATAGGCACAGACGATGATGTGTTCCTGGGAACACCTCTGCAACTGCATTTTGGATAGATTTGCACTGATTAGTGATGATAGCATTTGGAGGGCACCCTAGCATACATGTGAGCCAAGCCTTGAATAACCAAATATAGGTCTCAGTAGTCTCATCAGAAACCAAACCACAACCCAACAACACTAAGTGGCCATGATGGTTCATCCCAACAAATGAAACGAGAGGCAAATCATATTTATCAGTCAAGTAGCTCGTGTCAAATGTAACTACATCGCCAAAATACTGGTATGCTGCCCTAGATCTAGCATCAGCCCAAAAAAGATTCCTCAGACGCTCGTGCTCATCAAAATCTACCAAATAAAAGAAATTTGGGTTCTTACTCTGCATGGATGCAAAAAATTGATGAATTACTTCATTATCTCCTTCCGCGAGCTTCAACTTTCCAATTTCTGTTCGACCGCATCCTCTACCATTGAATCGGGCATCCTCTTGTAGCATCTCATGAACCTAGCAGTTGCTGGATTGACTGGATGATTGTGTTCAAGTTTAACATCCACTAGATGTAGCAACCCATCGCCACGCGACTTTGCTGATATCATAACCTCACAATTAGTTTTTGCTGTTCGTCTAGCTTGGTACATTGCATCACTTCTTCCTGTGCCTCCCTTAGAACATGCTAGAACCAACCGTCGGCATACTCCTTTTTTGGTGAACGAGGACTTCTTTACTGCTACCCCAAATCCAACACGCAACGCATATTGCTTGAAGTAGTTGTTAAGTTCATCATATGACGTAAATACCAGACCAACCCGAGGTGTTTTCTCATTTTTCCCATTTATGTTAGGATTCCTACTTAATTCATCCTCAATGCTTCTTTTGGCATCAGTAGAATGATCATCCTCATCGTCAAGAATGATAACTTCTCTGTCCCGTTTTTGTGGACACTCCTTGAGATCATTTGCTATCTCCTATAGAAACAGTTGAAAAGCATAATCAGGAGGGAAAATTTGTAAAATAGACCATTTTTATGAAATATATAGCGAAATAGACCAATTTGAAAAATAATTAGCAAAATAGACCTCTTTTGAAAAAAAGAGGTCGATTTTGAAAAACAATGCTCAGAAAACATACGGGACTACTAGTCCCGTATGTTTAGAGCCAACTAATCACGTATTAGTAACTCAGAAAACATACGGGACTAGTAGTCCCGTATGTTTTCTGAGTAGAAAATTTTACTAATCCGTGATTAAAACATACGGGACTACTAGTCCCGTATGTTTTCTGAGCTGTTTTGCAAAATAGACCTCTTTTTGGCCTGTTGGCCAAAAAGAGGTCTATTTTGCTAATTATTTAGCAAAACGGTCTATTTTGCTAAATAATTAGCAAAAACGGTCTATTTTGCATTTTTTCCCTAATCAGGATATACTTTCAGACAACTATACAAGATCCAAAATCATGCATACCTGAGTTGCTTTATCATTTTCAACTGTTGTTTCGTTCTCTTTATTCTCCTTTACCTCAGTGATGTTATTATCGCCAAAATGAGAAACATCTTGCAGTATACTTCCAGTTGTCATCCTGTCCGTCTCAATCCCCTTTTCTTCACCAATTCTACAATCACCAATATTCTCCGTATTAAGGGAAGAACTGTCCGTCATACCCTAGAAAAGAAGAGAAACAAGTAAATACAAAGACACTAAATTGCAAGCTTCAAAAAATACCAAACCATGGCAACAACAGACCATAACTTCCTCATGTTTGGGAAATTCTATATACAGTAAACAAATGGTTCAGTGATCTGAGCAAGATGCATTTATAAAAAGGAGGAGATCCATAGATAAAGAATACATGGGGTCAATGAAAAATCTAACTGAAACAACTGTCTATTAATAAAAATTAAAAGTAACAGCAATTCCGTAAGACTATCCTGCTAAGTCGACCTAACAAGATCAATATCTTCACAAGATAGATTCTAGGCCATTTCTATTTTATTTATTACGGCACTATTTACTGTGGTAAGAATTCTTGCTTCCCAATGCTCCTTAATATGATGCAACAATTAAGTTTTGGCTTTAACCGGCAGATAGTTGATGACTATTTGTTGCAGATGTACAAAAAAACTGATAGAAGTAAAGTCTTCCTTTAATCTAACTCATGAGGAAGGACTATGTTAGTTCTAATGGAATGGGGGAGAGTTTTTATAAAATGACTAACAAATTTTTGAGGATATTTGAGGTAATCATGATAGGTGTAGCCTTGTTTCTCTGTTCTCAAGTCACAATTAAAGGAGAATTTCCTTTTCTCCTGCTCAAGAATAGAGAAGCCTGTTAAACCTGTGTAACATGAAGTAGTGAAAGGTGCTGATTCTAATGTGCACTTGTCACTGCCAGACTGGGCAAATCTCAGAATCAAAAGCATGATAAAAGTGATAACAAGAAGCTTCTGGGTAAGAAAATTGTATTCAGATGAATAACCACATTCAAAGAGGATGTCAAGAACAAAATGTATGTATCAGATAACAAAGGCCAGCATTCATGATGAAAGAAAACTTTATTAATTGCCAATTGGTGAAGTTGTGGAAAGTGGGTGTCAAGTCTTGTAACTAGCAAAGAGACAAAATAAGCAATTTTCATAATACTAGCCTAAGGGTGGCAATCTTGACCCAGACCCAATAACCCACCCATGTCCACCCACTAAATGGTCCACCCAAACCCACCCATTTAGTTAAATGGTTCCTAAATGGGTCGGTATTGCTTCTATTTCAACATAATTGGTCCATAACTTGACCTACCCGTGACCCGCCCATGACCCATTCCAAACCCACATATTCCTCTCTCGGTCTCTCCCCTCTCTCTTATACGCAATTCTGGATCAGAACTCTCCAGCCCTAGTTCCTCTCTCTCCCCTCAAGTGCTTGAGTTCTCTCTCCTTCGAGCCATAGTTCCTCCTCCCTCTCTCCCATCAAGCCCTAGTTCCTCTTAATTACCAGAAGAAGATCAAATCTCAAATATCAATGTTTTGGACTTGTCAAGGAAACAAATTAGGGTTTGACTCTGGTTTGCATGTAAAGCTAAGAAAATTAAATATATTCATAGTTACTATTTACCTTAAACCATTTCGACTTATTGTCTAATGTAGAGCCTTCCTACCTTCAAAACTACTTGTACTCTGTGATACCCCGACATGGCCAAATTGGTCTCGTACCCGTGTCGGGTACGTTTTGGGTGCGGATCCGCACCCAAACGGCAGGGACACGACGATTGAAGGCGTGAGGGAAAAAAAAGTACCCGAGCTTCGAAGGAGTAAACGACAATCTTCGAGGGATGACGAGCTTCAAGGGATGACAATCTCTGAGGGAGGAGTCGATGACGAGATTCGAAGGAGGACGAGCTTCGAGGGAGGAGTGAACAACAAGCTTCGAGGGAGAACAGTGAAAACCCTAGCCCTAGAATCCACTTAGAGTCGGATTTGAAGGAGGAAGCTGATAGAAGCAAAGGAGAAAAGTGAAAACCCTAGCCCTAGAACCCACTATTACCTATTTATATGGGTAGCATTTGTAAATAAAAATTATATTAGTTCTAAATTGTTTATATAGGTAATAATATTAGTTCTAAATTGTTAATTAAAATAAAAATAGCTTACATTTGTATAGGTAATTATATTTGCAACTTTAAACAATATACTTATAGTATTTTGAGGGATGTTTGTAATATTTTGGGGTATAGTTCTAACTTATGAATGTATGCTTGTAATTTTTAACTCTCGTTTTGAGAGGTAGGCTTGTATTTTTGTATGCTCAAGATGAAAGTAATGAAAATTAGAATTCGGTATTATCTTCAAATAAGTTATATAACTTACATTTGTCATTGATTATACAAACCAATGTTACATAATAATATAACATAAAAATTGATCTATTTTTCTATATGTTCATCTTCTCTTTCTTGTCTTCTTTAACATTATTACCTTCAATTCTCCAAGAGATCATTGCCATCCCGACATCTTAGTTTACACCTGCAACATGCACTTTTCTTTAGTTTCTTATTTATTTATTTATTTTGAAAATAAAACAAGGGGTACCCCCTGTTCATTGTAATAAAAAGAGATAAAGAGTATAGTTACATTTAGTTTCTTATTTATAATCTCCACTTTACATAATAAAAAATATGAAAACGTAATAGGTATTTAATTCAATATTGATCTAAAGTGAATTATTTTATATACATACATCTGTGTCCCCGTACCCTACTTTTTACAAATTTGCTGTGTCCCGTACCCGTATCTAGGCAACATAGCTTGTACTACTTTGTAGAGTTGCCAACAAATGGCCTCATTTGAACAATAAAATTTTGTTTTACTTGTCCTACTTTCTACATCACGAGCCAGAATATGTAAAAACATTGCCACGATTTCCTCAACTATAACACTTTTTGAAGCTACCAATCCCCCTTAGTACATAGGACATAACACAATCTCTTATATCAGAGTTTCTTTAAGTTGTTCAGCACATTATTTGCATTACAAAATGCAAACAAGACTTCAAATCCAAGATCTTCTAAAGTAGGCCCTCTCATCCTCTTTTTCATGTGTTCTTGAATCTCCAATATGATACCACGCACCAAATGAAGCCACCATAAAATTAATTACTATCAAAACAAGAATCATTTTTTCCTCCGCTCTAATCTCTCCTCTCAAATTATCTCCTTTCATGTTTATGTTGGACCCTCGATCCCTTCAATCATTGTCAGTTTTAACCCATCAAGTTGAAAATGGATTAACAATCCAGAGTAAAAGGCAAACATACCAAATCCTATCAAATTGTATTACAATCTAGATTAAAAGGTCTCACTTAATCCAGTGTAAATTTCTCAACATTAGCAAAAAAACAAGAGTACAAAAATAACATCGGTTTGTAGGATTGAACTCACAAAAGCATTTAAACAAACATTTCCTCATCATGGAACTTAACAATGAGTAAGAATCCTAGTTCAAGTGCAATGATGAGCATGTAAAATGGGATTATATGTCGGTTTACTCCTGCGTAGTGTGTGTGTGTGTAAGCATGGGACAAATATACAATTATTCGAACAGTTTGGACCAAAATCTTACTTCTTGTTAGTTGCTGTTATATGTGTTTTATGTACTTGGTTTACATAGTCTTTCTATGTTGAATGAAGTGTTTGGAGAGCTCATTGAATTGGACACTTTCTACTGCAACCTTGGTGGTGAAAGAAGCTGCTTTCTTAAGTATAAGCCAATGGGCATATCTAGAAGGCTATGTTCAGACCATAGTTGAAAAACACCCATTACATAACTCGTTATGTTGCGCTATTTAACCTAACATGCCTTAAATGTTATATAACCTTATGAAATAACTCAAACACATCACTGTACGTTATTACATATAGTATGTGTTATTTCAATTTAATTTACGCTATTTCAATATAACATGAGTTTTTCCAATATAACTTAGGCTATTTCAACATAAGTTCTAGAGACTTGAGAGTATATCCTTTCTTAAACCTTGAAGTGGTTGATTAAGTACTTTTGAATTGATTGTTAAGCCTTCTTGTCTTGTTTTGGTGATATCATTATGTACTTGTAAAATTATGAATATGACTAATAAAACAAATATAATGATGAATTAGCTGTAAATTTATGATTATATATTTGAGTATCCGATAGTGGCATTTATTAATAAATCTATATGGCTTGTATTAAATTAAAGAATTTTAGTAAATTATTTTTGTATTATGATATTACTTTCCTAATTCTTAAAATTATTTTGAACATCTTTTATATTTTTAAGATTAAACAGGAAGAAAATAGTTTATTCCTGATTGTGATGTTATGTTTGAAACTTTTTATGCTTCTAATTATTACAGTCATTATGAATAGTTTGTATTTTATTCCTACATTATGTGTTACGTTTTTTTTCCTATTTTTTTCTTTAACCCTTAGTAGAAGGTGGAGTGTTGCGTTATGCGTTATTTTCAACATTTTTAGACTCCAAAGTGATGGATTTTACATTGGCTAAAGTAAATTTTGTCATTTAATCAAGCTCTTAAATAGTAATTAGTTAAAATCTGGACATGCGACTCTTGTGCTGAGTATAGCTGACTTCTATGATCACAATACAATAGAGAAGGTTCACAAATTGAGACTGAGCAGCAGCAGCGGCAGCATAAAATTTTCAGATTAAGGCCAAAAAATTAGCAAATGGGCATCCCAAAACACCCATAAAAATTCAAACTTCACCTAAGAACTCCACCAAAAAAACCAAAATTTTGCGAGGTAATACAGGCCACTCAATCAAATAAAATTACAATTAATAAAAAGAAAATAGGCTGCACCTTTGAGACGAGAGAAGCTCACCCTACTCGAATCCAAGAAGGAGATTCCCCCAGTTTGCCCTGGAATTGGAATCATTCATCACCATTAACAATCAGCATTGCTTATTGCTAAGAAATTAGTGACAATCCCATCAAAAAATTCCAATGGAAAAACTCAAAAATTATCTGAGATAGAAAAAGAGAGAGAAATCGGAGCACCTCCTCGATTCTCTGAGAGAGACCCGTCGTCAAAAGAGAGAGGGAGAGCGTCGAGCGACGAAAGTGGAGGGAGCAGAGGGATCGCCAAATTAGGGCTTTTGAGTCGCGATGGGGGTTTTCAGTTTGGTGGTTCTTTGATACATATTTCATATTTCGAACTTAGTCCCTCATATCGCTGAAATTGCTACTATGCCTCTCAATTTTTAAGATAATTTCAAACTAGTTCCTTAGGGGGGTTAGTCACCTAGAACTTAGAATTGGAACTGAGATAATATGTGGGATAAATTATTAAAGTATTAGTCACATAGAACTAAATCTAGAATAAAATTTTACAGTGTTAGTCAAGTAGAACTCTAACAAAACTAGAATTTGGATAATTGTACAAAATTATCCCACTTTTTTTATTTTTCTATACAAAAATGAGAGCTCTAGTCTCTCAAATTATTCCAAGTTTTAGCTTGGAACTAGGTGGTAAAAAACTAGAACTCATATTTATTTTGTTATTTTTTATTTTTTATATTTTTTTTCTTTACTTCTTTCCTATTATGGTTATCACCATCATTAGACCATCGTTATAATAATAATTGTCAATATCTTATAGTCTAACCAAAAGTTATTTAATAGTAAAGAACATTTTTGTAAGCAATTATCAATCAATAATAGTAATTTTAAAATACATAAATAGTATTTTTATCTTCAAAATGTGTAAATATATATTTCATGATTATAAAAATTTATCCCATGTTATTTTATCAAAATATTCCGCTTTACAAAATTATTCCTATTTATCCTACAAAAATATCCCACTAGCAAAAAATTATTTTACTTTAACAATTATCCCATTTTGCATGAAAAAGTCCAAATTGACTAACACCCCCTAAGTTCACTAAATTTGCAATTAGGTTTCGATTTTCATGTTAAACCATCTAATTTCTATTTCTTCTTTTCATTGTAGGAGTAATTTTAGAATTAAAATAACTTAAGTATTACGAAATCTAATAAGAATTATGAGAAGTAATAGCAGTTTTAATGATTTGAGGAACTAATTTCAAATATATAGATTTTAAGGACTTGATTTTTGGTTGACGGAAATAATTCTACAGAAGCAAATTCTGCAACAAAATTTCTATTTGAATGTTTGATTTGCAACAAAATAGTTGAGAATGGTAATTAGATTTTTATTTTATAGAAAAATATACGGTGTCTACTGCATCCGGTTTAGCAAAAATAAATTTTGCAAATCGTTACATTGACTAAAGTAATTAAAAACTAATGTCAAGTTTTTTTTAATTGTTGAATTTTAACTCAATATGAGTATATATTTCTACTTTTATAAAGGAACAAACATTTGATGGCACTACATATGCATTTGCTATGGAAAAAAAAACAATCTAACTACTTTTGTTACTAACCAAATTCTAGATTTGGATTTGGAAATACATTAGTGATTAGTTTTCCGTAACAAAAGTATTACTTGCAACACTTTCCTACATGCAATATTTGTTTGCAAAAAAATTTGCAATGTACCGAACAACAAGACCAACTTTTTTTAAAAAATTGTACAGTATATTATTATTTCACTTAGGGATGTTTAGTTGGATGTAAATAGAGTTGCAAAAGTAAGTTGAGAAACCGGATTTGTAAATACATTGTAAATACATTATTATTTCACTTATGAAAGGTAAATATACTTGCATTTTGTTGGGGAAAAAAACTTGCAACAAGCACTACGCCCATTTTGGTGGGAGGAAAAGCTACAAGCTTTAAAATTTTTAAAATTAAAAATAGTTTAACCTCATGAAAATAAATACTTTTGAATCCAAACATAAAATCATCTACACTCAAGTTTTCTTGATATGACAAAATTATGTAGTTTTTTACAGCACTTGCTTTTGAACCAAACACTAATTTTTTTATTGGAAATGCACTTCCTACAATATAATTATAGTTGTCAAAATAAAGAATTTGAAGTTGATCTCTTGCAACAAATGTTGTTGTAACATGTGCAGCAATTTATTTTTGCAGCAAACCAAATAGCTTTGTTGGGTGCAGAGTCACGCCCTCACGCCGCGAAAGCGATATAACGCGAGAGAAAACCCTGCCTTTTGTTTTCACAAAAGATCAAGCAAACCTCTATGTTCCTGTTTCGTGAAGGAAACAAGAACAGAAGTAAAATATCTCAACAAAGTGAGATATACACTCTCCCTCTCATCAGTTCTAGGACTGAATTGTCGAGGGAACCTACAAACAATAACCAACACCCAGAAAACAGTAAAGACATGAGATTTACATGGTTCGACAAACTTTTCTACGTGCACGGGGAAGGGGAGGGGAGATTCCACTATAAGGAGAACACCGACGATTTGTACAATCCACAAGCTCGTCTCAAAAGAAGAAGATTAGATTTTTATTTAAAAGAAATTGACCTCTCTCTTATAAAATCTCTCTAAGGCTCTCTCCTCAAGATCTCTCTTTTCAGTCGCCAAAGAAACCCTTGTTTTCTTCCCCTTGCGTCTGTTTTTCTCCCCCTACAGAAACCCTAGAAGAAGTCGGGTATTTATAGGAGAGCATGGAAAACCTTGCTCACTAGATTTCTCTCACGTGCGCACCGCTGTAGCCCTCACGCGCTCACACGTGAGGTGAGCCTGGCTGCTGCTTGCATCACACGCCCGACTTCGGCACTTCAGCGCCTAGAATTGTCTTGGGTGGGCCGCACTTGGGCTCTGCCTCTGCGCTCGTGGGTGTGACCACACGTTCACAATTCACCACCTCGTACATCATTTTATAAATCTTAAATTTTGGACGGACACTAGAAGAACACGTGAACATCACTAAAGAAATCTGAAACACCAAATCAGGCCAAACCAACTGCGCCACTTTATTGCGGCTACCTACGTGCCCTTCACCGGGATCAAACTAACCGTAGTTCAGGATTTATTCTCCATATAGTCTCCACCTTACCCCATCACCGCCCCGAAGGGCCATGTTCTCTTGGGCAGTTCAATACGGGCTGATATGAAGTAAGTCCAAGTAATGCTTAAACTTTCTACCTATGACAATCTTGGTTAACATGTCCACGAGATTCTCATTCTTACTGTGACGCCCCAGGGTTCACACAAGGCTGCAGTCCAAAGTAAAACCCGGATTGTCAAACCTGTCAAACACCAAACACCATGCTACGACATATTTCACCATCATAGTCATTATCTCTCTAGTGAAAATAACAAATAGGTAAAGGTACAAATAGGCAAATAATAAAAGTAGCACAAAATCAGATATGCACAGAAGAAGTATATCAACAAATGAGCCCAATTAAAATAGACTGAAGATATCTCCGAGTCAGAAATACATCTCAACACAATGAGTTAAATGAAATCTCACTAAGGCACTCAGCCTCTACAAAAATGAATACAACTCTAAAATCTGAACAATGAACATAACTATATAGTGGAGCTTCAACTGCTAAAACTATACGACGGCGACTATACTAGAACTCCATCATCCTGCGGTTCTCCGAAACTCTGATCTGCCTGAAAGATACAATTTAAACAAAAAATAACAACAACAAGAGCGTCAGAGCGCTACAGTAAGATCACCTCCATCCGCCCCCAGGGGAAGGGCTGCTAGATGAAGTGGAGGCTCTATCTATTAAGCATAGTCTACCTATAACATTTTCCCCGTATCTAATGTAGTTAATATTTAGACACCTACAAGACGAGACGTAGTACGTCGAGCGAAATAATCCAAACAAGGAAACCCTCATATATATACTATACGTCTTAAATTATAAATCCCAAAATACCAAAACCAACTCTATGAATGGAAACAGCACTCAAAGAAATACTCCAAGCCTCAACTATATAGAAGCAATGTTACAATCTCGAACTACTTCTCAAGTAGTTAGCGCAATTATAAGAGAATATCGTTCAACTCAAAACAAATCATCATAGGTCATATCATGCATACCACAAACCAAAGAATGTACCCTACTCATGGGTAATCTAACATGGGAGTAACTATAACTAATAATACATATATGTGTGCATCTCTTTATGCAATAGTGATACTCTTGTAATATTCTTACTCAATCGCTCTGCGGTAATAGGTTTTACCTCCCTATCCCGGATACATGGAATGATAATACTTTTGTAATTTCATACTCAATCGCCCTGCGAAAATAGGTTTTATTATCTTCCTATTCCGGATACATGTAGTAACGATACTATTGTAATACTTACTCAATCGTTCTGCGGTAAATAGGTTTCATCTCCTTATTTTCGGATTCGTATAGAACATTATTATTCATATGTGTTTAGCAATTTAACTCGTGTCGAAAGTGTGTCAATCTAACACAATCTAGCATACCTACACCAATCTCGGTGTGCGGTCAATCTAACACAATCTAGCATACCTACACCAATCTCGGTGTGCGTGTCCACATCTGAAGTTCACCATCATACCAGGTGTTTAACAATCACTAATATCATAGTCTATCATCATAAGATCGAGAAATTCGTACGACAACCAAAAACAAACTCAAATATACATGCACAGGAAACAGACTGGCGAATCATGGCGGTCGCCCGCGACGGGCTCCAGAGACTACCCATGTCTCTGTCCTGCACGCGGTCGACCGTAGCGTTCGACCGTGGATCCAAATTTTAGTTTCCTCAAACTGGTTATATGTATCGTGATCATGTCGTGTATCCCCGATATAAACATGTCTAAAACTTCATAAAATTTGTATTTAAACATGCCACAACAGATGTGAACATCTGCAAACAACTCAACAATTATAAACATAATTTTATGCATTAGATTTATATTCAAACCCCTAAAACATGCATGAAGGCTCAAAACAACGAATCAAACCTCTTTCTTTAGATTAACCAAATTCTTCAATCTAAAGTATGGACTTTTAACATATTAAACATAAGTATGATTGTCAAACAACTTAGAAAATATATACATTCATTAAATCATATTTTTAATACTTAGGTATCACAAACCTAGGGTTTTCTCATCTCTAATCCACATGATATTTTTAATACTTAGGTATCACAAACCTAGGGTTTTCTCATCTCTAATCCACATACAAACTCAATTAAAAGTCAAATTAGGGTTTAAACATGATTAGCACAT